CTCCCACTGCTCTGTGAAGTAAGTAGGATATACCCCATTTCATAAAGAGATTTTCCCCAAAGACAGCAAATCAACTTGCTCAAGAAAACATAACCCAGGTACTCAGGAGGCATTCAAGCCAAACCTCTACGCTTCCTTCAGGAACTGAGCCAACTTCCTACAAACAGCAACCACTGAGCACCAGCCTGTGCCAGGCACCCAAGGTACTTCCTATAACATGACCTCCAACGTCCAGAAGCCTCAAGGGGCGGGGTCATTTCCACAGACTGCAAGAGTCCCTGCACCCAGTGTTTGGGGGGTGAGATTTCACAATTTCATTGCACAAGCCCATTTTCATTAACTAGGTTTTTCTCAGGGGCCAGGAACAACCACTTTGAGGTGAGAGGCTGCAGATGCAAAGTCACATGGGATGGGCAGGAGGGGACTGGTGTCTTCCTGAGCTTAAAATGCCCAGAAGCCCATGTCCTGCCCCACCTGCAAACTCACAATTGAAAAGACCTTGCCACACGCAGGGTGACTCAAAGATCTTCTCCCTCCCATTCACGGCCAAAGTACAAAAACAAAGGGCAGATGGGGTGAAGAGCGCTTGGAAGCTGTGGGTCCTGTGGCAGCATAAACCGAAGCTGGAGTCATTCCTGCAGGGGCCATTTGATCCCACATGGGACAGGACCCCGCTTCCTTCAGGGGACCCACTCTTTTGCCTTGAGCTGGCATATCCTTAACTATACACTTACAAAAAAGAAAAAAAAAATCCATTTCATCTGCAGGGGATTACTGGGAAAGGAACTCTTGCATTCAGATTATAAGGACTCTGTCCAGGGGCTCTCACCCCTCCCTCAAAGCAGGGGGAGCTCGCTCCTGGCCATGGGAGCTGCCCACCACAGGGAGGATGATGAATGAGGTCGCCACGCAGTGAGGCTGAGGGAGGGGTTGGAAGTGCCACTGGGGATGACGGTGGCCAGTCCCAGACCTGCCACCATCAGACCAAGAGCAGGCACAGGCCAACCCTGCTCACTTAACTGAGACCAGCTCCCAGGAGACAGCACTGCAGGTTCCCTTGACTTCTCCCAGTGGGAAATCTGGATGGGGGATAAAGCCAGGGGCTGAGCCACCGTTCACACCAGAACCACCAAGCCCACCTTTAGGGAAGGACAGACATGGCAGCAACTGGGAATCAGAGGCTCAGATTCCCAAGCCTCTATGCCCCAGACAGGACCTTCCACTGTGACATCCCAAGAAAACAGCCAGTGTTGACTGAGCCGGGAGGGCAGGACGAGGGAGTGGGTGGGCGAGGAACTGGGAGCCAAGGCCTGGACGTGTCTCACTCCGGCCCCTGACACCCTGCCCAGGATGCACCTTCTTGGACTTGGGCCTTGGATCCGAAGATCCTCTAGCAAGGTGCCCTCCACATCCAAACCCTGAGGATGGGGCCAGTGAGTTCATGGCAAACTCAAAGGGAAGGGGAGGGACACACGGCTTGGTAACCACGCAAAGCCGCTTGCTCTGAAGGTGTCAGCTTTCCCTGAAGGAGGCGGCCTGGACCACAAGGGAGGACTGGGCCCAAGAGCTTCCAAAGCTGGCACAGAGGAGGCCGGGTGCAGGCGGCACCTGTGTGTGCAGGGTCCCGGCTGTGTGTGCGTGCAGGGTCCCGGCTGTGTGTGCGTGCAGGGTCCCGGCTGTGTGTGCGTGCAGGGCCCCGGCTGTGTGTGCGTGCAGGGCCCCGGCTGTGTGTGCGTGCAGGGTCCCGGCTGTGTGTGCGTGCAGGGCCCCGGCTGTGTGTGCGTGCAGGGCCCCGGCTGTGTGTGCGTGCAGGGCCCCGGCTGTGTGTGCGTGCAGGGTCCCGGCTGTGTGTGCGTGCAGGGTCCCGGCTGTGTGTGCGTGCAGGGTCCCGGCTGTGTGTGCGTGCAGGGTCCCGGCTGTGTGTGTGTCCGCCCCACTACAGCGGCCCCTCTGCCCTGTTCTAACAGTGCAGCTCCAAAGACCCAGCTCTGCAAAGTGGGAGAATGGAAGACCCCTGCAAGCTGCAAAGAAGAGGCTGTGCTGCTAATAACGGCATGTAAGAAGACCAGGGACACAGGCCACCCTGCCTGGCCACAGAAGTGGGGATCTGTGTTCTGGGGGGATCTGTGTGCTGGGGGGATCTGTGTTCTGGGGGATCTGTGTTCTGGGGGGATCTGTGTCCAGGGGGGATCTGTGTGCGGGGGGATCTGTGTGTGGGGGGGATCTGTGTTCTGGGGGAATCTGTGTGTGGGGGATCTGTGTTCTGGGGGGATCTGTGTCCAGGGGGGAATCTGTGTGGGGGGGGGATCTGTGTGTGGGGGGGATCTGTGTTCTGGGGGAATCTGTGTGTGGGGGATCTGTGTTCTGGAGGGATCTGTGTGCTGGAAGGCACCCATGTGCTGAGGCGGGAGCCATGTACTATGACGGGGGGTGGTATCTGTGTGCTGTGAGGGGAGGGAGCCGTGAGGTGGGGGATCCATGTGCTGGGAACATTCATGTGAGGTTGTTTTCCTGGCACAGCAGGAGCTGTTTAAACCAGAAATGACAACATCATACTCTTTAAGAAACTCAGCCTGGGAGGCTGGGGAGGGGACGTTCTGACAGTACCCAGATTACCACATCCCCAACCCCAAAACTTCCTGATGCCACCACCAGGCACGAGGCTTCAAGAGCACCAGGAAATACCTGACTATGAGGTGTCACTGAGGAAAGGATTCCCATCTGCATGGGGACACCAGGAGCTCCAGCTGGAAATGTGCGGGAGGGGGCTCCGAGACCACGCGCACCCATTAACCCCGACCATCACTTGCTCCTCTCTTCCCTGGAGTGGCTGCTTTGTGCAAAGGAAAGGCGGATGCTCGAGGTCACGAGCTCAAACCCACACCCAGCGGGGAGATCTGCACCATCTTCAATGGCTGAGTTGCCCAACTGAGAGATTTCAAGCTTTCCAAGAACTGACTTGGTTTCTGGTAGGAACCAGGGGCCACGTGAGATGAGGGCGGGGGAGTAGGACCCAAGACCAGGCTCCTCAACGAGGAGCCAGGCTAGTGTCTGAAGTCCGCTTGGGATGCAGCCCAGGCCATAGGGTCCTGGGAGCCTGTGGCGGCACCGTCATTGAAAAGTCCCAATCGCTCAGTTCCAGGCAGGGCTGCGGAGAGAGTGACTTCTCAGCGAGATGTGCTGAGTTAATGAGCCCCTCATGCCCTCACAAAAGCACTTGTAAAGGCAGCTGGAAGTTGCTAGCATCGGAGAGACCAGCGCGGATTGCTCAGAGGAACTCATTTAAAGGAGCCCACAGGGATTTTTTTTAGGGCAACATACAGGATGAAATGTTTAAACAGAGTCGACGGAGAATGTGCCACCCATGGGCACCATCCCCGGAGCACGCAGCCCCTTGAGGAAGCAAGCTGTTGGGTGCCCAGAGCAGATGGGAAATCGAATCCAATCATGTTCAGGAAGAACGGGCCTCAGGCATTCACACAGCCCTCCCTGCCTTCAAGCACCAACTGCCAAAACAGCGCCATGTGACTCTCTCCCTCCATCGCCTTCAGAGAAAGACCCTGGCCAGACCGGGGGCTCACGCTTCTGATCCCAGCACTTTAGGAGGCTGAGGCAGGGGGACAGTGTGAGCCCAGGAGTTCCAGACCAGCCTGGGAAACACAGTGAGGCCTCATCTCCACAAGAAATAAAAATAAAAAATTACCCAGGGGGAGTGACACACCTCTGTAGTCCCAGCTACTCGGGTAGCTGAGCTGGGTGGATCCCTTGTGCTCAGGAGTTCAAGGCTGCAGTGAGCTGAGACTGCACTCCAGCCTGGGCAACAGAGTGAGACCCTGTCACCAAAAAAAAAAAAAAAAAGATTCCAAGGTCTCTTTGGGTAGTATATTTCCTGGATGGGTCACTGGAAAAGATGCAATTTATAGAAAATAAATATAACTTCTGTCCCTACAGTGGTCAATTCAGCCAAGTCAATAAAAAATCATGAGTCAGGCTGATCTGCGTTTACTTCTCAGTGGGCTGCTGTTGCGAAACTGAAGGTTTAAACCCTGAGACAGCATCTCAGGGGGGCTGAAGACCCACCATAGCAGGGATTGCCTCAGTGCTTCCTCCTGGGGTCCAAGCTCCCTCCCCTGCCTGAAAGCTCTCACTCCACAGGAGCAGGGAAGTTAGGCCTGCAGCAGCCCAGAAGTCAGAGAGCACAGGTCTGCAGCAAATTACGAACAGATGTCCAGAAAACAAAGCACCCCTGTAATCCAGCATGTTGGGAGGCTGAGGCGGGAGGATCGCTTGAGCCCAAGGGTTTGAGACCAGCCTGAGCAACATGGCAAAACCCCATCTCTAAACACACACACACACACACACACACACAAATTTGCAGGGCATGGTGGCATGTGCCTGTAATCCCAGCTACTTGGGAGGCTGAGGTGGGAGAATCGCTTGAACCCAGGAGGTGGAGGCTGCAGTGAGCCAAGATGACACCACTGTACTCCAGCCTAGGTGACAGAGCAAGACCCTATCACCAAAAAAGAAAAGAAAAGAAAACAGCACTCTTGAAACCCACTGTCCAGGGCCATCTGCCCCATGTTCCCTCCCAACAAAGGGCTCTGACTCTGGCCTGCTTTCGTTCAATCAGATTTCTGAGAAAACAAAAACTATTGTCTCCTGGCCTCTTTGTCTGGCATCTTCCAATAGAGAGCCACCCATGGCCAGGAGCAGCACACCCCAAGGGGGTTTCTGACTCAGAGACCTGGGCACGCGGATGCCCCGGACGTCAGCAGAAGCAGAGCTTTTAGCTTTGCTACTATTATTGGAATTCAAGACATCAGAAAACTAGGCAGATGGGCCAATCTAAATATTCTGCAACTGGTAAGGATTTCAGAGCTTTTGCAGAAAGAGAGAGGTCTCTCAAGTTCACAGCCATCTCCCCAGCACCCCCACCCTGCCCCGCAGAGTCCCTGGGACTGGGGGTACAAATAAAGAGTCAGTTTAGTCTCAAAGCAAAGGTTTTCCCAAAATCCTCTTTAATAATACATGTAGCCCACATTGCTGCAATCAGCATAAAACAGTTATTCCTGATTTGTATAAATTAACATGTCGAGAGTCAGGATTATAAAGCATCAAGATACAAGTACCAAGTGGGAGAACCAAAGAGAACTCACAGTGAAGAGAAGCGCTTGAGAACAAGCCACGTGAAGTTGTAGGATGTGGTAACAGCCCGGGGCGCTGAAAGGGTCAGAGGCGGGCTTCTCTTCTGCCTGTGCGAGAGGGAGGGGGCCGTGCGAGGCTGGCTGAGAAGGACCAGTGCCGGGCAGCAGGGCAGAGAGTGCCAGGGGTCTCGGCTCTGCAGATTGGGCTTTACAGAGGATTCCCATTCCCCACCTCCCCAGCCCTCGGATAGAGACTGAGACCACACACGTTGACCTCCTCTTCTTCAGGCCGAGCTGCCATTTCCACTCTGTTCTACTGAGTGTGTTGTTCTGCAAAATAATTCTCCGGGGTTCCTTGTCCCTTTCAGACAACGGCTTGCCTGCTCAGACCCCTTTCCACACGCACAGTCTGAGTCTGGGGGGCCCTTGAAAGTCAGGCACAACACCCAGATCTGGTCCTCTTGGGTGGCTTATGGCTGGATATGTCCACCGTGTGTGACGGCCTCTCAGCTCTCTGCCGTAAGATCATTGGCACCACCAGGTCAAACAGGGTCTCAAACAGGAGGTCCACATTGTAGCCCGTCTTGGCACTGGTCTCAAAGCACATCTGCTCAGCGGCCGGCATGTCCTGCTCATCCAGCATCTTGTACTTCAGGATCTTTTTATAAAGGGCCACCGCGTCCTCCAGATGCACCTGCTTAGGCACCCTGGGGGAGACACAGCCCCCGCCGTCCAAATTGGGGCTGCACTCTCCCTTCTCCTGGCCCTCCGAGGGCCCCTCCTCAGTGAGGTCCACTTTGTTGCCCACGATGGCGAACAGGCAGTCTTTGCTGGCTGTTTCTGTCAGGCCCAGGAAGCGATCCTCCAGCTCCACCAGGCTCTGTGGGTGATTCACATCGTAGGTGAGGATGATGGCAGCCGCTCCCCGGCAGTACATGGAGCCCAGGCCGTGGAACTGCTCCCGCCCTGGTGGGTCAAGAGGGACAGAAAGATGGGTTATCTCTCATCTCAGAACACAGCCGCCAGCCCCACTGCACAGGAACAAGCCCAGCACTCCAGCCTACAAGGTCCACGCGGCACACACGCTTTCCACGAGTAGACTGAAGAGTGGGCAAGTCAGGCACAGCAGCGCTCCAGGGAGGCCGGGCCGGGGCACTGGAACCCCCACCTCCTTCCTGCATGTAAAGGCAAAAACCCCAGAATTGATGGTTAAAAAAGAGGATTAAAAGGTCCTGGTCTCTGCGTACTTTTACAACGCAGTCATCTAATCAAATCAACCCAGGTCAGAATACACTCCCCACAGGTAACCCGGCACGCCCACAGTGCCCTTTCCCGACATCTGCCCAGGGCCACCTTTCTATCCCAGCAACAGTGCACAGACCCCCAGGGGGCCCACTCACCCCCCCACTGGCAGGCAGCTCCCTGCCAGTCCACTTAAGGCAGGTGGGAGCTACCTGGGAACTTTCTGGCAGAATTCTGCAACCCCTGCCTGTGGCACAAGCTTTCTGCAGACTCAGATTTGGAGGACAGACTCTCACAAGGGGAGCAGATCTGGTCATGGCCGGCCGGTGTTCCTGGGACAGGGGCAGTGCGTGCAGCAGGTGAGAGCCCCCAGCAGGGAGGGCTGCGCCCAGCAGCCTGCAGGGGTGTCCTTTGGGCCTTGGCATGCTTTTCCTCATTGGCACATCTGCCATGTCGGGGAGATGAGCTCTCAGAAAGCAGCTGTGGGAGAGGCGGCAGCATTCAGCATGCACCATGCCCCCGCGCCTCTGGAGGACTGAGCAGGCTGTGCATGGCACATGCCCTCCCTGCTGGAAGTAAGGGCTTCACGAGCGTTCCTGGTGATGGATCTGTTTCAATCACCAATGAGCAAACCGCATCTGAGATCTTCCAGTCACAAGGCACCTGCTCCCCACTACCCCTTCCAGGGGCACGCTTTCGGAGAGGAGTGAGACCTGTGCTCAGACGCCGCCCCAGGGAGCCTCTGCAAACAGGCCTGGAGGCTCCCACAGCGTCCCCTGGAGGCCAGCTCCTCCCCTCCTCCCTGGGCAAGCGTGGCCTCCCGGGCCATGCCCTTAGACCAAGGGAACGACTGACGAGCAGCACTGGACCGACAGCACCAGCCTCCACGCTCGAGCCCAGAACGCAAGGTCAAATGCCCCCGGCCAGTGGGCAACGACGCAGAGAGAGGTGGCACCCAGGGAGTGTCCGGGGCCCATTCCAATCCCTCCCCGGGGAAAAGCAAGCCTGGTTCTGATTTTTTTAAAAGAAGCTAACAATGTGGGTTTAATGAGCAATTGCCCAAGTCATAAATGTTCAAAACTAATTCAAAATTTTCTAAAGATCACGTTTAGGCAAACACAAAATGCAACAGCGGCCCATCATTGGCAACCTCTAAATTCTAAATGGTCCCATGTCACTCTGAGGGCAACTTCCCCGAGGGTGTGGGCATCGCTGACCAGTAGCAAGGGCTCTTCATCACTGGGTCATAAACCAATTTTGCAGGGTCCACGACCTTGAACGGGGGAGAAAATGTCATCTTTGTTTTCACCACCCTCTGCCTGAAATTTACCATTTCCTTCCATTAAAAATGTTGGCAGCAGACTGCAGAAACAGTGATGAGGGGCACTCCCCATGAGCAGGGCCAGCAGATGCTTCCATCTGCACGCCAGCCACTTCAGACACCCCAGTGCGATGCGCATGGCCCGTCAAGATCGCCACCACCCTAAGGACTGCCACGCCCTCATTCATTAACATGTGGACGATGAACCACATATCATAATTTTAAAAGGCTTTGGACCACTGTACTTCGGGACATCTGGTTACCTTTGTATGTGACCATGCACCCGGGCACAGTGTTCTCAGAAGGGGTCCTGGGCTCATACCCCTCGAGGGCTGAGGGGGTCTTGACGTAAAAGAATTTAAGGACCTGGTCTGTGGGCATTTGGAGCATGGACTGAACGCATGACAGCTGCACATGTGCGGTTCTCTAAGACAGACTGTCCTTGGCCAATAAACCACTGTTTAGAGCCAAAGAGCCAAGAAACACAACCAGATTTCACCTCATTTCCACCCCAATCGTTCTGAAATGGCCACAAGCCTCGCTGGGCGACACCGCCTGGATTTTGAGGCAGTCTGGTCACCCCTCGGGCAACCCTGGAGAGAGGAGCCCACAGACACACACACTCATGTCCTGTGAGAACAGCCGGACAGACCTGTCTACTGCCCGCTGTGGTCTCCCAGGCCCCGAGCCTGGCTCCAGCTCCCCCTCCAGCAGAGCCACAGTGTGCCTTCGGGAATGTGGAGGGAAAGCGAGCTGGGAGCTGAGCCAGACTGGCTCTGGTAGGAGTCGGAAGAATGTGCGCTGCTGCCAGTCTGAGGGTCAAAGTGTCAGAGCTACCCAGGTCACCTCCCTCTTCTGGGAAAAGCCAGCCTGGGAATGCCGCAGTTTGGGCGACAGAGCCACCCTGTTGGCAAGCAGCTTGTGCCCTGGAATTCAGCACCTGAAGGGCAACGTTCCTCCCTTCCGCACCCCTACCACAGGTCAGCTTCAGACTGACAATTCAGTCAGCTTCCAACCAAGCTGGGCAGAAACCAGTGTCCCCCGAACTCACAGTCACTCGCCCACTATGGAAGATGATGATCAAGAACCTTTAAAACCTGACATAAAAACTGGCAATAGCAGGCATCAACTTAAACAGAAAAGGCTAAGGCAGGAGGATTGCTTGAGGCCAGGAGCTGGAGACCAGCCTGGGCAACACAGCAAGGCTCCCATCTCTACAAATTACTTTTAAATTAGCCAGGTACTGTGACACATTTCTGTAGTCCCGGCTACTCAGGAGGCTGAGGAAGGAAGATCGCTGTGCCAAGGAGTTTGAGGCTGCAGTGAACTATGATCATGCCACTGCACTCCAGCCTGGGCAACAGAGGGAGACCCCATCTCTAAAATAAATTTCAAATGGTAATAATAAAGAAAAGACAGAAAAATGTCATAGAAAAAATGTCAGTCCAGGCATCACGAGGTTTTTACAGGAGCTAAAAAATGTCATCAGCTTCTACCCACCAGATTTCACAAGAGTGTGACTATGGGAACACGGAGTCAGGGACATTCCAGCTACCCTGGAAGGACTTTTTTCAAGTCTCTGTGACACAGTTCACTCGGGCCAAAGGGAGAACTGTGTTGATGCCTATGCCTAAAATAGCTTTTCATTCCAGATAAAAATGTCTGATTTGCCTATAAAAAGGAAATAATAATAAAAGAGGAAAGATCTTAGTAATGAAAAGAAGTAGGAACTGAAGACCACAAATGCTAGCCAGGAAAAAGTAAATAAAAATTGTTGCTTGAACCCTATAATCTGTTATCTACCCATGAATATAAATGCAAACCAATTACATGCAGGTGCCCCAGCTAAAGAATTTACAAGCAAGCAGTTTTCATATTTGCAATTCTAAAATACAATTTTGGAGATAATGTATAGCTTTTAGGATTGCTAATGGATTATTCAGACTGCTCTAAATGAGCCTATTGTCCACACTGAGAAGGGCCAGAAGCCCTGAATTTAATCGTGATTGAAGTAGGGGCGCTGGTATTTCAGGCATGACAACCAACATAAGACAATGAAGATTACATGGTGTCACTACGACTTGACCTTTTGCACTTGGCTTTGACAAATTCACAGTGTATTTGAATCCAAAGGCCCTCACACGTTTTCTGGTGGTTTGTGAATGTGCTGTGCGCCCGGCCGGCAGCCCCCTGCTGCTAACCCCACATACATGTCAGCCCCTGGACCTCTCAGAGTGGTGATTTCCTGTCTACAAGTACGGCCTTAAACTGAGTCTTTCACAAGTCCCTCTCCCTGGAAACAGGATGAGCCATCTCTCCTGCCTTCTCCCCTAGACAGGGGTCCCTTAGTACCGATCCTGAAGCCAAAGTGCTAAGAATTCTGGTAGTTTACTTGGACTTTGCTGGAGAAATCAAGAGCCTCAGGTTCAGTTCTGGGGATGCCAGAGCCCCAGGCTGACCCAGAAACAGGTCAAAAGAGAAACATCACAAGTTGGTTCAAATTCAACCAATGCAGCCAAGGGTCAGTGAGCTGCCAGCCCTGGTCTGGTGAACGGAGCCAGGTTGCCAAGAACACGGGCCTCCCAGTTCAGCCCATCATCAGGCCTGGAGGCAGGGGTTCGAGCCTGAGGAGGGAGCTCAGCCTCCCTCCAGACTCAGCCTCTTAGCCAGGTCTGTCTTTGGGCCAAGCAGGTGGGAGGATGTGTGAGTGACTGGAGCCCAGGGCTCTAGGTTCGACTTGGCCAGGAGTTACGACTCGTTTATGTTGCAAACCGGGAAGTGATCTGCTAAGCTTTATGCCACCAACACAATACAGACGAAGACATCAGTTACCCCTGGTGGTGACGGAAACCTGAATCTGTAACAATGCCTTCAATATCTGACCAGCCACACTGTTGGACAAACTATTGAAATGCAGCAAAACTGACCAGGACTTTCGCCAGTGAGTCCAGAGCAGCCAGAGATGAAGACCCCCTGCCCACTGAAGATGTGGCCCCGGGGAGGGAGTTCTCACCCGCCCCACCTCTACACAGACACGGGGCCTCGGGGAGGGAGTTCTCACCCACCCCACCTCTACGCAGACACGGGCCCCGGGGAGGGAGTTCTCACCCACCCCACCTCTACGCAGACACGGGGCCCCGGGCAGGCAGGTCCCACCAGGTTTATTCCTGGAATTTACATATCTAAAAACACAACTGTGTCTGTTTACCTAAAGAGCTAATTCCACTCACTTTATGAAGTGTAGGTTCTAACAGACAAGGAAGTGGACTTGGTCATTTGCGGCAGGGAATGAGCAGTTAACTTCCACCAACCTGTCCCCGTATCAGGGACATGGAGCGCTGCTTCGCGACGGGAAGAAGCGTGGCCGGCATAAGGCGTCCTCGGAGTTTATTATGCTCGTAGT